GATTAAATCGTATAACCTCCCTAGCTGCGGGAGCCTGCTCCAACTCAGTAAACAAAAAATTTTAAGTTGAAATTGTTTTGCAAGTAAACATTGAATTAGCAATAATTATTATTGTCAGCTGCCAGATGGTGATGTCTATCAGCAAGTGCCTCATTGGCTCTTCTGGATTGAGCCTAACTCTTCTTCGACAGACCAAGTCTCATGAGCTCTGTCCGGCGGTCAGTCTTCTTCTCTCTCTTCAGGAGTCTCAGCATCCCTACGAGCTCTAGCTGCTGCAAGCCTGGCTTCTCTTGCTTCAGCAGTCTCAGCGTCTCTACAAGCTCTGTCTGTGACTCTTCTTTTAGGCTAGTTTTTTTAGCATAGATTCTATAAATCTACCCTGGCTGCTACTCTCTGGGCCACGTGCTCTTCAATCTTCAGGGTAGAGGCGTGGCTCAATGCTCGGACACTTTTGCAAGTTTTCTTCTTTTTGTTTATATACAGCTGCGATTACTTTAGACTTCAACACTAATGATAACATTTATCTATTGTGGTTTAAGTCATGACAGAGTTTTGTACTGCAGCTTGTACAGTTTGGAGCAAGCCACAAAAATAAGTGACCTCTTGAAATACTGATGCGCGGCCAAACGCATCAATGGACAAACAAGAATAAGACTCAGAGAACGAAAGTGGATTATAACAATCTGTCTTATTTGTAATAAAACCATATCATTTGACTATCATTGTAGAAGATTTCAAAGCAAATGATCAAGCAGTTTGGCTTATACAACAATTAGAAGTCTACTACTTTTTTGCTTTATTTCCGGACAGGAAGTAACAATTTTTTAATAAACTGAATTAACTGATAATAATAATATAACAACTTCCAGAAGACTTTACATGATGTCACTAGATCTACAGAGTCTACAAAACCACTTCCCTACAGGAGCCTTTTCTATTCCAGCACAGTGAAAGTGCCACCATCCAATTTTACATTCTTTTGCATCACAGTAAATCATCTCTCCAAATTCCCCAGACTTGCAAACACAGTAGGCATCTACAAGACATAAAATGTCAGATTGTTCATAAAATGATGCAACTTATACCTTTACTCACAATCGACTCAGAATTTTCAACATCTATGGAATGGTGTCAAAAATTATACCATGTATGCCTAGTTATATTACCAGAGGAATCAAGAATTACTCCTTTTGAACCTTTTCTATTTGACATACTACTGTAACTTCTAACTCTAGTAGTGCCTGTAATTATATAAATCATAATACTTTAATAGTTATTATTCACCAATTCTCTTTGAACCTCTTCCATCTTCAGTTGACCGTGTAAGAGTACCTCTAGTACCTGTGATTATATCTACACATCATAATAATTTAATAGTTATTATTTACCAATTCTCTTTGAACCTCCTCCATCTTCACTTGACTGTGTAAGAGTACCTCTAGTACCTGTAATTATATCTACACATCATAATACTTTAATAATTATTATTTACCAATTCTCTTTGAACCTCCTCCATCTTCAGTTGAGTGTGCAAGAGTACCTCTAGTACCTGTAATTATATCAACACATCATAATAATTTAATAATTATTATTTACCAATTCTCTTTGAACCTCCTCCATCTTCACTTGACTGTGTAAGAGTACCTCTAGTACCTGTAATTATATCTACACATCATAATAATTTAATAGTTATTATTTACCAATTCTCTTTGAACCTCCTCCATCTTCACTTGACTGTGTAAGAGTACCTCTAGTACCTGTAATTATATCTACACATCATAATAATTTAATAGTTATTATTTACCAATTCTCTTTGAACCACCTCCATCTTCACTTGACTGTGTAAGAGCACCTCTAGTACCTGTAATTATATCTACACATCATAATACTTTAATAATTATTATTTACCAATTCTCTTTGAACCTCCTCCATCTTCAGTTGAGTGTGCAAGAGTACCTCTAGTACCTGTAATTATATCAACACATCATAATAATTTAATAATTATTATTTACCAATTCTCTTTGAACCTCCTCCATCTTCACTTGACTGTGTAAGAGTACCTCTAGTACCTGTAATTATATCTACACATCATAATAATTTAATAGTTATTATTTACCAATTCTCTTTGAACCTCCTCCATCTTCACTTGACTGTGTAAGAGTACCTCTAGTACCTGTAATTATATCAACACATCATAATACTTTAATAGTTATTATTTACCAATTCTCCTTGAACCTCCTCCATCTTCAGTTGACTGTGCAAGAGTACCTCTATAAGTACCTGTAATTATATCTACACATCATAATACTTGAATAGTTATTATTCACCAATCTCTTTAGAACCTCTTGATAGTTGAACATTCTGGTTCTTTCCTTTAGAATGATCACCAATATCTGTATCACTGGAGGACTCGTTATCATAAGTATTAATACCTATCATAACATGAATTAATTTTTAATCGTTAGATAATTACTTGTAATTGGTAGATTAAGTGATACCAATGGATCATTTGGATAAAAAATACGCAACCATTGACAGTATCTATCATCAGGAATGTTGTAGCCATTTTCCTGTCTTGTACTGAATCGCTTGTGTTCCTCATTTGAAAATAAAGGTTCAGGTTGTGATACGGACTTATTCCTCGCTTTCCTCTTTGGCTTCAACTCTAACTGCCTTTTCTTTTCATCCCTTTTTCGTTCACGTTCTTGCTTCCTGAATTCTTTTTCTTCTTCCTTCCTAGCTTTCTCCCTTTCTTTTTCTTCTATTAATCTCAAATGTTCACTGCTTGTAAGTACTTTAGCAGTGTATATATTCTTACTCTTAGGTGGCTCTGGCAATACAAGAAACTCGCTAACGAATGATGGTTGCATATTTTGAAGGCTGTCAGCAGGTTCAATATCTGATCCTGTCATTGAGTCATCATCAGATATGCTTGTATCTAACGATTCATCGATTAGTTGTTGATGTTGGTACTTGGAAGGACTATATAATGGAACATACATTCCCATTTTTGAAGCTAACTCATCTATTTCACAGTTATCATCAGAATTGGTAACATGTTGAAGTACAATGTATCGATTTAAAGGATATACTCCTGTGGCCCTAAATCCCATAATGATGTTGGAAGGAGTCATTGCCTGTGCCCAAGCTTTAGCAAATATTGATGTAAAATTAAAACGATTAATAACTTGGCCTGGATTAGTGCAAAGAAATTGCTGGCACTGCTGATTATAAGCAGCTTTTAAGGGACTGTAACATGACCTGTCTAATGGTTGACACAGGTGTGTTGTGTGAGGTGGAAGGCAAAACAAAATTATGTGATTTTCCGTAGCTTTACGTATGACATCAGGATGGTAGTGAGAGGAGTGTCCATCAACCAGAAGTAAGACTGGTCGCTGAGGTGGAATATTCAATAGAAAACAATTTACAAACCAATCTAGAAATATTTCTGAATCTATCCACCCTTTCTTTGATGAAGCGTACACAGTCCCTGGGACTTCACCAATCATATGTGTAGTGGGTTTTAATCGTTTTCTATCAAAAATTATCATTGGTGGTATAAGATTGCCTGATGCACTGCATGCAGCCAGAACCGTAATTTGGGTTTTGTCACCACTTGTAATCGAAGGAAGATCACGTTGACCACATACACCAATCACTTTACACGGCTTATGTTCCAATGGAAAACCGGTTTCGTCACAATTATAAATCAGCATTGGGGAATTTTGAAGCTTGTTTTTCTGCATCGCTTCTTCTAAAGTATCAAAATAGGCATTTATTGTTTCAGGTGAAGATGCCAATAACCTACGGTAGGACAATTTGCTGCCAGAGCGTAACGTCAGCATTGGGTGTCGTTTCTTAAATGATGTCCACCAGCCTGAAGTGACATGAATATCGTCCACACTGCAACCTCGTTTTTTAGCCAAAGAAGCTTGCACAATAGTTATAACCTGCTTTTTTGATCTAGGAAACCCAATTTTAGCTGCTCCAACTAAAAACTTCACAAGCTGCTCCTCTTCAGTGTCATTCAGATATCGTTCTGGGCCACTAGTTGCACCAAAAGGCACCTTCCCCGACAACCGGTCCCAGAGAGTTGATTTGGGTATCGAATATTTTTCTGAAGCCTCTCTCAAAGTACATTTGCCTGCTCGTACTTCGGCAGCAGCTAGAAGCAGGTTCTTATCACGAATAGCACGCCTTTCTTTCACTCTGGAAGGCACCTGTCAATACAAACTCTAAAAACAAGATAAACAAGTGATAAAGACCCACCATATTAATTTTGCCACATGTTCGGTTAAAGATACGGTGTGGGCGTGGTTAAATTAATAATCCGTGTTATATAAATTTTCATATTTTGCAACCGCCGACATCTGGAACTCCAAACTTTTTTAGCTGGTAATCTAGACTTGCTACTTCTATTTTCGAACATAAAAAGAGGAATTAACAGCATAAAACTTCTGAAAAATAAATAATTGTCCGAAAATTGCTTATTCCGAGAATTGATTTTCTCCTCTAAGTTAACCCTCTCTGTTCTCAGGCCAAATTTTGCCAAAATTGAAAAAGAGAAAATTCTCCATTTTAAAAATAAGTTTTTCTGATGCATAATTATACACTGAAATTTAAAAGATTTGTGTTTACTTTTTTTCAGTGGAAAGTTAGAAATTATGTTGCATTTTACTGATGTTTGGCATTACTTAGGATTCTAATTATTCTGATTATAAAGTGTCTGAAGGTTTGAAGCATCATTCTGAGGATAATAATGCATCAAATAAGAATCCTAGCTACTTTTCAAGACTCTTGACTGGCAATGTGATTACTTCTAAATGTTCCAGCAATATTAAATCAATTGCAGGAGGAGCAAAACAAATTGGACACGAAGACATTCAAAGTCAGTATGGTAGAATTACGGTATTATGAGAGATACATGTAGTATATTATGCATCTTAAATGAGAGAGAAATAACAAATATTATTTTAATAGCTTATTATCAAAATAGCAGCACTGCTGAACTACCATCATCCATCACTGAAACCAGCCAAGTAGTTACGTACACTACCACATTAAAATAATTATTTTTATCATAATTTTAGCTTATTTTGAATACTCTTAGAAAATATAATGGCCAAGATAATATTCTTATTCAAGGGAAATGGTTGGATGAAACGGAGTACCTTTTACAAAATAAGGTTCTCACAATTGGTGTGTTTGGACGTCACAAAGCTGGAAAGAGTACATTATTGAATGCACTCCTTCATCATGAGTGAGCATGAGGAATATATTATTTCAATTAATATAATTTTAATAGAGTTTTGTCAGTAGCTGATACAAATGAAACAGCATTTATTTTAAGAATTCATCATAAGCCTAGCAATCATCATAGAAGCAGTTGTTTTGAAGATGCTGAAGTAAACTTTAATTATTGTTGATTGTAATTTACGTTGTCATTATGGTGTAGCAATTGTTATCAATAAAAAAAGAAAAAATTAAAGGGCAACGAAGCGTTCGAAACACAATTCACAAAAGGAACACTGATGTCTGATATAAGGCATAGCTTGGGGGCGCATTTGGATTATTATTTCTGATTTTTCCAATTTTTTCCAATTTTTCCAAACTGCTGTAAGTATATTCCTAAAATGTGAAATTTCAAGGAAATCGCAGTTGATGTATTAGAAGCACATGTCCCCTTCCTATGTTGTTGTGCCACTGAT